CCTGTATCACGATCACTAGTTAGGATGGAACCTTTGTGACTTCAAATCTCATTAATAATCAGAACCCTCTTTCCATTGGTGATTTGTTGAAATTTTAACTCCTGAGAAATTTTACTAAAAAAAAAGTCAGTTGCAGGACAAGGTTGAGGCTGAATCCGAGTGCTGAGCCCAAATGAGCTTCAAACAAGCTGCTTTCAATAGAAATGGAGTGGCCCAGAGTAGGGGTTTTTCACCACTTATGCTGTGTTCTCTTCCAGCCAGACTTTTTCTTCTCTTCTCTTCCTTTGTTTCTCTTTCTTCCTCTAGTAACTTCAGTCCAGTCTGGGGGGCTTGACCTATTTTGCCCTCTCAGAAAAATGCATGAGAATCTACTCACCTGTTATAAGATTGTTGACCAGGAATAGTTTCAGTGCACTTGTGTGATATGAGGGTACTTCAAACGTGAGTGGAAAAATAGAATTAAAAGATAATATGAATCTTTCCATGAACTTTTTCTAGACCCCTCATGTAATGGTTGACCAGCACTGAATCCCAAGGGAACGTCTTCATTTCTCTGGTTTCTGTTACACTGGCAAGCACAGAATGAGGGAGAACCAGGAATGCCTGACAGGGTGGACAAAGGAGGGACTATACGGAACCTCTAATCTATTTTAATTCTGAATCAATATTCCAGCTGCTCATGACCCATTGCATGATCCCTGACAAATTCAAATTAGCCTGCGTTTGGGAGGAAATGTAAAAGTATTTGATATAAAAACCTGCAACTAGAAGAATCCATTCAAGTAATATCAACACTAGAGCTGATCACCTCACTGGACTCTAATATTCAGCATTTCTTGAGTCATTATCAAATGTCCTTTATACCCAATATTAATTGACTCCAACTCCAACCATGGCATCAGGAGTTTGCTGATTTACGCAAGAGACTAATATCTCTTGGCAGACCCGAAAGTAGTTTATTTCTTTAAAAGTTGGGTTTTTTCTCTATAGATTGAGTTTTAAGTTACACAGTTAACACACACACACTGTTAAGGTTACAATGTATTTACCACTTTTATACATGTTAGCATTCTCTAGACTTCTTTTTTGCGATTTCTAAAGATCTCTCTGTGCCGCTGGTGTGCACTTGATTCCTTACTTAGATTATGGCTGGATATTGACTCTTACATATTTGTCACCATTTTCTAAACCACTCTTCCTAGCATTGCCTCCAACCAGCTGCTTCCACAAATCTCCTGGCTGCAAAGTGGAATCTCGCAATCGTTTTAAGATGTGTTTTTCAGAGGCGTCTCTTCATTAACTATTAGCCATTTCAGGTCTCCTCCAATTTCCAACTGGGTTTCCATTTCCTTGTGAATTTTCATGATTCCTTTGATTATAATAAATATTAAACTTTTGTTGATTTTGCAGTCTCAAGGATCTTTTCTCAGCCTGTCCTTTTTTTAAAAAAAAAATCCTAATTAAAAAAAATTATTAGTATTTTTTACATTCTAAGATCTTGTTGCAGAGAAGTTGTCGGGGAGGGAGAGGGGGAAAGGAGAGGGAGATAGGGTGAAAGAAGGAGGAAGGAGGGGGATGTGGTCAAGACCTGTGGCACCCCCCCCCCTCATTCTGGCAGGGGAGCCCAAGGGGCTTCCAGCAGCAGCCTGGTTGTGGCTGGGCTAGATGCGGACTTTGGGGAGACATGGCTGAGGCCCTCAGCCGCTGCCCCCACTTCGGGAGCCTGGGGCACTTCCAGCAGTGTCCTGGTGGTTGTTACTAGGCTGGGCCCTCGGTCCCCCACTGCCCCACTCTGGAGCCTGGGCTGCTTCCAGTCCTTCTAGGTTTTATAGGTGTTCTTTGGTGGCATTAGACCTTTACTAGTTAACATCAGAACTTTGTCTCTGATCTGTGGGTTTTTTGTTTTTTCTTTCAGTTCTGTGTTGGATTATTTACTATTTCCACCACTTAAACTCTGCACTGGAACTAATTTGTTGTCCTTTTGTTACTTCTAAAATGGGGAACTTCCTGTGGGAACCAGCACCTGAGCCCTGTGGTTGAGCTAAATTGCTGCTTTGCTGCTGATTCTCTGAGGAAGGCTTTTTGTGCAGCTCAGGGTTTAATTGTTGACCTTGTAAGCACTTCTGGGTCTTGTGAGGTCTGGTACATCTGGGTTGTGTGGAATCTCTGGTCTGGGCCTGAGTTTTTTCAGGAAACTGCACCCCCTGCCATTCTATATTCCTGCCCAGTTTCCACTGTACTGCTTGGGGGGCAGATCAGCTGTCCATGCTGTGTCCCAATGTTCCCTGGTGGGCCAGTCTCCCCCATTCACCACACTCCAAACACTTCCCATGGGATGAGCCATGTGCTGGTCCCTTGCATTGACCCACTGGCCTCTGAGTGGCTCCTTTTTTCAGAGTCTGTGGACCCTCACTCCTATGTGGGTCCACAGGAACACTGTTAGTGGTCTTGCTGGCCTGGGGGACACCAAGGCCCTTTTCTCCCCTGTAGCCTCCACTTCATATGAAGGGCACAGCAACAGCTTTTGCCAGTTCTTGCACTGTGTGCTAACCAGGGTGTTCGGAAAATATAAGAAAATGGTCAGGGCCCCTCAGATATTCAGAATCTTGCCAAGCATCTGATGTAAATATGCACGTGTGCCCAGGTGTTCCTTGTTATTGCTAATGTAATTGCACGTGTGCACCCAGGTGTTTTGAGTTATGGACTTGAGTATAAAGGACTAACTTCTCTGATATGCGAAGCTTCTAGAGACGCTCTGGAAAGCCACTAGGGTGGCCGCTCCTAGCTCTGAATAAAGCCTATTATTTCTTCACGCATGGCTCCCAGGACCTTTTCCTATTACCTAGCTCGTAGACCTGTGTGTGAAGGGTTGGTGACCCACTCTGGACAATGGGCTTGAGGGTTCTGTGAGCCCTAGCCCTAGCTCTACACAGGGCTAGCCTTGAAGTGGTTGGGGCTCAAAATGGTTGGAGCGGTTCTTTCTTTCTCTCACTGTGGCTTCTCCAGCCTTCATGCACTCTGTAGGTCTCTCCTCCTCTTCCCCTGAGCTCTAGCAGCCCCAGCTTGGCTGTCATTGCTTTTTAATAGTTGTCAATTGGTTGATTTTTGAGAGAGTGATGCTGGGGACTGTCTATTCTGCCATCTTGATCAGAAGTCCTATTTCTTTAAAAGTTAAACACACACTTACCAAACACCCAGCATCCATACTCAGAGGCATTTATCTCAGAGAAACAAAAGTATATGTTCATACACGTCTGTACATGAATGTTCATAGCAGGTCAATTTGTAATAGCCCCAAACTGAAAACACACCAAATGTCCTTCAGTGAGTGAATAGACAGGGAAACTATGGCACATCTATTCAATAAAAACACTCTTTGGCAGCAAAAAAGGAATGAACTATTGATAAACAAAATGACCTTTATATTATTTGTATTTTCTTTTAAGTGATTTATTACATATTGCTAAAGAATGCTAAGGAAAGCTGCCAAAGAACACCATCAGGGGAATTGAAGGCATTTTTTTAAAAGTTTTATTCATATATTTTTTAATTGTACATGTTTATGGGGTACGGTTTGTTGTTTCAATACATGCATATATTGTATTATGGTGCGATCAGAGTAGTTTGGGTATTTATCACCTAAACATTATTTATTTGTGGTTATAACATTCAAGATCCTCTTTCCTGGCTATCTTGAAATATACAATACAATATTATTAGCTATAGTCACCCTAGAGCACCAGAATTAATTCTTCGTATCTAACTGTAATCTTGTAGCTTCATACCCGTGCTTTAGAAGCTTTTTTTAATTGAAACATAGTTGATTGTACATATCTGTGGAGTTGAATATCAGTACCTTTGTGCAATATGTGATGTTCAAATCAGGATAATTAGTATATTCAACATTGCACCATATAATCATTTTTTGTGGCTCTCTACCAATTTCTCACTAACCCTCTCTCCCCCTCTTACTGAGGGAAATTATAGGGAATTATAGGGAATTGAGGGCAATGGGCAGAAAAGGAGAATTCCAGGGATTTTTAAAGCTTTATTGAGGTATAATTGATATAAAAATTGTATTTATTTAATGTATACATTTTGCTGTGTTTGGATGTATGCACACTCTCATGGTACCATCACCACAATCAAGGTACTAAACATATACAGTGTCTTTGTTTTTCATATCCTTCATCTCAACACACTGTAATTTGGATAAATTTCACAGGGTTTATGCTGAGCGAAGAAGACCAACCTCAAAAGCTGAGGTCATGTATGATTCCATTTAAATAAAATTCTTGAAATGACAAAGGTATAAAGATGTGGAATAGATTAGTGGTTGCTACAGTGTAGAGACCAGGAGTTGGGAGAAAGATTACAAAGAAGTAGCCGGAGGGATTTCCTAGGTAGTGGTGGGACAGTTCTGTGTCTTGGTGGTGGTTCTAGAAAGCTGCACAGATGATAAAATGTCATAATACCATAGACATACCCCCCAAAAAGATGCAGACACAAGTTATGCAGAGACTGGTGAGATCTGAATAATACCTGTAATCTAGTTAACTGTATTGTGCCAATGCCAGGTCTCTGGTTCTGATAATGTCCTAGAGTTGAAGAAGTCACCATTGGGGGAAGCTGGCTGATGGGTAGGTGGAAACTCTACTATATTTTGTGAAGCTGTAACTGTTTCAAATAAAAATTAATTTTAAGAGATGCCTTGGGCAAGACTTCAGATGATGCAGGACAGATCTCGAGGGAGGGGGTGGAGCCACACACAGGATTTGGGGAAAGATGTTGTCATTGAGCAGCTTCTTGTTTCCTGAGTCAGTTGCAAGAAGGAGACTTTGCACCAGGTGGTGCAGAGAACCAAAGTGTCAGAGCAAAACCTCTACCGGCACGTCCTGGGGACAAAGTAGGCAGGAAAAGAGCTATGGTCAACCCAGTCCTGCCGCTCCTTTGAATTGTGAAATAGAAGACAGAATCCTGGTTCAGGCAGAAGGGACACTATGATCACAGATTTTCTCTTCTTGCTTTGCCTCGGTGAGTCTCCAGGACTGGAACAAACGGGTTTGGATTGGTGAGAAAAAATCATGGATGAGGGGGAGTTAAGATGGGAAACATGGCAAGTGCAGAAATACTGACTTTCAGGCATTTGATGCATGCCACGCGTCAGAGTCTGTGGGCTGTGAGCTTCACATGCATTAATTCTGCTCCCACAAGTAGGAGATAAGAAACCCGATCTGCAGAGACCTGTGTTTACTCAGGTCTGACCCTCGACAGAGGGTCAATCAGCTGAGAAATGCAGAGCTTTAATGGGATCTCTGATTCTGTATTCTCTAAATATCACAGTCTCGCCATGAATATTCCATTAGAGTATAAGAGGCTGGGGTTTAAGGATTTACCGGGTGCAAAACTGTGGGTAAGAAGAAAAATTTCTGACCAGTCCTATCCTTAGGCTGATTTTAACCATCTTCTGTTTGAACCTAATGTCGTCAAACAGGTCTCAGATTGCAAAGAGGAAGATCTGTATTACAGTGTTGGCTCGGTCACATAGGAGCTCCAAGCTTTGAACCAGCAGCTCTATCTCACTGAGCCCCCAGTTCCTCCTTGGTGCAGTGCGGGTGCGGTGGACACCAATGTGCTTTATTTGTCCCAGTTCCTTCCTCCTTTTCTGGTTACAACCCTTCTCTTCGGGGTAATGCTCCTCCTCTGCACACATTTGTGCCTTAGCGATGGCTGTCAGTCACCGCACCCCAAACCTCCATCTGCAGGACAGAGTAAACCGGGTAGCCAAGAGACCGACTTCACCTGCTCTTTGTTCACTTCCTGAGGCTGCCGTACCAAAGTATCACAAACCTAGAGCTTAAAACAGTAGAAATTTATTCTCTCACAGTTATGGAGACCAGAGGTCTGAAATCAAGGTGTCAGCAATGTTGATTCCTTCTGAGGGCTCTGTGGGAGAATCTGTTCTGTGCTTCTCTTCTGGCCTCTAGTGACAGTTGGCCATCATCGGTGGGGTTTTGTTGTTGTTGTTTTTGTGGGGTTTTTTGGCAGTGGGCTGGTATGGGGAGTCAAACCCTTGACCTTGGTGTTATCAACACTGTGCTCTAACCAAGTGAGCTAACCAGCCAGACTCCTTGGTGTTTTTTGGCTTGTAGATGCATCAGTCTGATCTCTGCCTCTATCTTTACATGGTCATCTTCCCTCTATGCATCTCTGTCCCTGTGTCTCTCCTCTTCTTATAAGGACACCAGTTATATTGGATTAGAGGCTCAGCCTACTCCAGTATGACCTCATCTTAGCTTAACTAATTACATTTACAAAGACCAAATAATGTTATTTCCAAAAGAGGTCACACTCACAGATACTGGGAGTTAGGACTGGAACATATCTTTTGGGAGGACACCAGTCAACTCATAACACCTCCTCTGGATGTAATTATTGTTCCAGGGATGGGTTTATGACACAAGATGAGCCAGTCCAATTTTGTTGGGAAATTTTCTAGGTTGGCACCAAGGCACCAACTTCTTTCCTCTGTGAGTGTGACCTTCCAAAAATGCAAGACTACAGTTTCTAACAGCCCTGCTTCCAGGCTCTCGGTCCTGTCCAGCCAATATTCGGAGAGAGAGTTAGACATGAAAGCTAAGAAAAAAGAACCTGACAACATTAAATCCCTGGATTAGGCTCTTCTGGAGGCCAGATCCACCATTGTACTTATTGAGGTTTCTTACATGGGCTAATACCATTAATCATTCTTTGTCTTCATCTTATTTTTGGTGAACTTTTGATATTGATTAGAGAGGACAAAAGTATCTAGTGTACATACATTTTTAAACAGTTATTGAGATAAAATTTATAAAACATAAAATTAACCATATTTAATTGTATAATTCAATGACATTTAGACATTTTCACCACCCCTAAAGTAAATGCTGTGTCCATTAAGCGGTCACTCCTCATTTCTCCTTCCCCTTAGCTCCCAGAAACCACTAATCTTCCTGTCTGGTTTAACCTATTCTAGATGTATCATATAAGTGGAATCATAGACATGTGGCCTTTCGTGCCTGTCATCTTTCACTTAGCATAATGTTTTTTTGAGGTTCATCTCTGTTGTAGCATATCCCAGCATTTCATTGCTTTCTATGGCTGAATAACATTCTCCATAAAAGATTTCAGCTCTCCAGATGATGTGTTTAAAGGATCTGTTAAACTGTGGATATCTAGCAATTGGCAATTTTTATTGTCATCTTTGTCCAGGGAACTATGGTTTCTAATGTCAACCACTCCTCTCTATTTCAGTTGAAGGTAATAGCACCTAACTAGCATGGAAACAGAACAGCTCTCCAGTAAAGACTGTACTAAAAGTTAAACTTATGGTGAACGGAGCAGGTGCCTGCAAGACGGTAGCTGTACGGTATATGATAGTTACATGTAAAGGACTTACTAAGTAATATAGTATATAAATGGTTGATGTATGTGAAGAGTCTGCTAAATGGTAAATGTACGGTAAGTATTAGATGTATATAGATGGTGGATGTATTTAAAGATAATAAGTTATGGCAAATGGTTGATGTGTGTGAAAAGCCTGCTAAATGATAGATACTCACTTACTGGTAATTTCTTGTTGTAATTATTTGCTGGGAAATATGGATCCTGATATTGCCACTCCTCCCTACCAGAGTTCTGCTAATACCCCAAAGAACTAACTATATGCTTATCCTTATTTTTCGTTATTTCAAACTATCTTACATGGCAGTGGGTCTCTTCCCCTACATGACAGACTTTTCCATTATAGCCAGTTCTCTTTCACTAAGCCAGCTGTATTCCTTATTAAGAATATAGGAATCATTGTTAGAACAGAAGATTGGCTGAAAGCAGAGCTGAAATGACATGGATCTAACAGCAGGATTTGGGGAGTGTCTGAAAAGAGAACATGAGATGTGGGACCCCTTGACCAGCCAAAAGCTGGTTTCCTACCTGTCAATCACAGCCAAGCTTGCTGCTTATGCAGCCTCAGTCCACTGTTAATCCCCCACCTCATTTCTTCTCAATGAAGCTTGGAGAGCCCGTGGTCTGAGTCAGTAGCTCGGTCAAGACATGGAACAGACACCCTGACTTGAGACATTCTCTTGGCTCTAGAGAAATTCTAGCTTCACTCAGAAACAAACCCCAAAGCTGATATCCCACGTCTCCCATAGATATATGATGTTCCCTTCCCGGGGGATGTGGGTGTGTGTGTGGAATATAAAGAACAGAACACAGAAGAGGAGGAGGCCTACGTATGTAAAAATAAAAGCCATGAGTGAAGAGAGCATTTGGGACCAGAAAACAGTTTGAAAGGAGAGGAAATTCTCTCTGTTTTAATAAGAGAGAAAACTCTACACTTCACAGTAAAATAATCTTCACATTATTTAAGTGATAAGGGAGGGGAAAAAAACAGAACCTCAGAAAATATGAGAAGAAAATAACAAGATTTTATTTTTTATGGCCAAATAGTGTTCCATTGTGTAAATACACCACATTTTCTTTATCCAATCATCTGCTTATGGACACTTAGATCGATTGCTTATATTGGCTGTTGTCAATAGTGCTGCAATAAACGTGGGAGTGCAGACATCTCTTTGACATACTGATTTCACTTACTTTGGATATATACCCAGTAGTGGGATTGCTAGATAACATGGTAGTTCTATTTTTAAGTTTTTGAAGAACCTCCAAACTGTTTTCCATAGTGGCTGTACTAATTTATATTCACACCAACTAATTTATATATGTACTAATTTATATTCTCAGAGGCTGGGAAGTGCAGGGGGCTGGGGGGATGAGGATAGGTCGGTCAATGGGTACAGTTAGCAGCAATAAATTCCAGGGTTCCTTCACACAGAAGGGTGACTATAATTAACAATAACATATTGCATATTTCAAAACAGCTAGAGGAGAGGATTTTGAATGTTCTCACACAAAGAAATTATAACTGTCTGAGGTGATAGGTATGCCGATTACCCTAATTTAATTATTACACATTGTATACATGCATTGAAACATCACACTGTATCCCATAAATACGGACAATTATTATGTGTCATTTAAAAACACATAAATAAACTTTAAAAATATATATAGGTAAATGTTGAACAATCTCTATATGTTAAAAGAAGGACTGATCATGAAAGCAATGCAATAAATCAGAAAAGGTTTCTGGAATTTTCTACATAAGTGTAACATCTGAAAGACAAACAATGGGACAAAAAATAAAAGATAAACCTGGGGAAATATTTGCAAGGAATATGAAAGACCTTTAACAAACTAGTCATGCCTTATCTGCCTGATCTGTACTCAAAAACAAGCACATAATTGATCTCTCATTGAAGTTTCTCTTATAGGTCTATGTCTGGGCTACGAAGATGAAAAAAAGAACGGTGAGTTTTCTCCCACTAACCTCTATTTATTCCTTCATCCTATGTTTTATGGCCTTTTCTCTTTAATCGTCTGAATTCTAGAAGGAGCTTTGTGGTCATCAAGATGAAGAGTCAAATTAACTCTGAGTTCTTTCCAGAGAAACTTCCCAAGCCCTCCCTCAGTGCCTGGCCCAGCTCAGTGGTTGAACGCAAGAGCAATGTGACTCTGAAGTGCCAGTCTCATTTCCAGAATGTGACATTCATGCTGGGGACATTGCATGACTCTAGGTACAAGCAAGAGCAGAACTCAGCAGAAAACAAAGCTGAATTCCCCCTCACTGACCTGGAGCCTAAGGATGCTGGGAAGTACTTTTGTGCCTACAAGACAACAGCCTCTCAGGAGTGGTCAGAAAAGAGTGAACACTTACAGCTGGTGGTTACAGGTGAGAAGAGCAGCCTCGGATTTCCTCTTTGATACACATATTCCTTTTCCTGGGATGGGACCTGGCTGAGAAAGAAGAAGGAAACCAGTAGACGAAGAGACAGATGCAGCACCTTGAATGTAGGGAACTGGGGAAATGAGAATTGAGTGGAGGGACAAGACTCTCACCAGGGATTCTGAGTGGATCTCAGTGATACAGATATGAAAGGATGCTTTAGATTATAGCCAATAAATAGAGAACCTGAAGTACCGTAAGGCTAGAGATGATTGCCATTGAAAAGATAGTTTGTTACTCAGTTTTCAAGAGGAAGGGCACACCACAGTATTGGGGGGCACCTGGAGGGGCACGAGCATTGGTCAGAAGGCAGAGAGAGGGGAAAGAACTGTGGAAAAGAGCCTCTATTGTATTTCTGCGGGAAGGAACAGGCTTAGGATTGATTCTGGGGTACAGAGGCTGTCCCTGGTAACTGGTCCTGGTGTGGGCTTTGGTTGGTTGGTTTGCATTTGAGAGACATAATCAAGGGCGAGATTTTTTACTATCTCTAAGAATTAACTAACCCTGGGAGGAGGAGTCCCTCCAAGGTCTTCAAGGGTCCAAGATGTCAAAGGTTCCAGTGCAGAAAATAATAGACACGGTTAATACAGAGAGACGGATGAGATAGTCCCCTGATGCACCGGAAAATGGGACGCTCTGGCCCTTCTCTTTACCTCTATTGCTTTGTCCTCTTCAGGATCACTCGTAGAACCTTCCTTCTCCGTCAGCATAGACCCCGAGGTGACTCCAGGTCACAGGACACTCCGATGTCTGATTTCATACAGTGGAATTGAATGTATCGTCATTGCACTGCTGAAGACAGGGATCCCAGAACCATTACAAGTCAAGAAAGCAAGAGAAAAACAAACTGATTTCATACTATGGAATGTGACAAGCAGTGGAAACTACAGCTGTTTATACTACCAGTGTGACTTTCCATACTTGGGCTCCTTCCCTAGCAACAACCTGGAGGTCTGGCTGACAGGTGAGGATACAGAGGGATAACACTGACAATTGACATGTATCCGGCATTTTCTGTGTCCTGATCTCCATGATAAGTAACTTACCCCCATGAACTCATTCCATCTTCATTTCCTATGAGGATGGTTGTATTACTAACTCCTTTTTGCTTACAGAGATTAGGTGACCTCCCTGTGTCACAAAAACAGTTAGTTGCTGATCAAACATAAATGCAAAATTACTTTTCTTTTTTATGCCAGAGAAAAAGAGGCAGGAGGAGTGACCAGCACACTAGGAGGGGTGTGGGAAGGCAAACAAGGTAACTCATGGTGTGGGAGCTTGTTGCAGGCATGGTGCAGGTAGGTGAAAAAGGAAAATAATAAAGACAAAAGAGGTAAGATGCACAAGGAAGGGGGAAATAGAATAATTCTGCATCACTTTCATTCATCTTTCCATCCATTCATCCATCCCTCCACCCACCCTTTCATTCATTAATCGCTCAATAGTATCTTTCAAGTGACTGTGGTTACTTCCAGTAGGCCAGGCTGGCTGTGTCATGGAAAATCCCTGGAGAAACCTCATGATCACTCGTGTAGTGTAGCATAGCCACATGTTCACATTAATGGCTTAGATTGGGCTTGGGGAATAATGAGAAACTGGGCACTTAATAATATTTTATTTCTATCTGCCCTCTTTCTAAGGCTCAGAATCATTGAAGCTCCAACAATGTGCTCATCACCCTAATATTGATTTTACACTGTAGCCCCCCTAATTTTTTCTTGTAGTCTTGAGAATTGTCATACTCATAAAAAATGTGGTATCTAGACTCGATAGAATAATATTCAGTCTTAAAAAAGAATGAAATCCTGTCATTTGCAGCAACATGGATAAGCCTGAAAGACATCATGTTAAGTAAAATAAGTCAGGCACAGAAAGACAAATACCATATGTTCTCACTCATATGTGGGAGCTAAAAAAAAATAATAATAAGTTGAACTTATAGAAGAAGAGAGTAGAACTGTTGTGACTAGAGGCTAGGAAGGGGAAGAGAGAGTAGGACAGTGAGAGGTTGGTTAATAGACACAAAATTATAACTAGGCAGCAAAAATAAGTTCCCTTGGTGTATAGTAATGCCGGACATCTATAATCAACAATAATTTATTGTATGTTCTCAAATGGCTAAAAGAGAGGAGCTGAAACATTCTCACACAAAGGAACAATAAATTTTTGTGATGATGAATTTGCTAACTACCCTGATTTGATTCACTACACGTAGTATACATGTTCTGAAATATGTAACTCTGTACCCCATAAATATGTACAATCAATGCATTTCAATAAAAAAATTTTTTTTAATTGTAATACCCACACATTAGCCCTAAAAACCTGATGATAAGTTTCAACTTCCCAATTATGTTCTGTGATGGATCATCTACTCTCCACTGGTTTCTTTACCTCCATGTCAGCCGTCCATTCATCCTGCCAAAAGACAGGCTGTGATACGAGTTTTTAGTGGTTCATTTTCTACGTCAGCCTCTCACATACAGACTGTTTGCTGCTTTGCAAATCACCTTATTATGCTACTCCTTACTTATTACAAAATGGGAATATGAATGCTTCTGGTGCAGAAGAAAATTAATTTAACATATGTGGCACAAAATCAATGTCAATTCACCCTACAATCCTGATACTTTAGTATGTCCTGGGTGTACAGTAGTGACTGACATGGGCCAGGTGTCTGGTCAACAAAAGCTTATATTCTCATTTGGAAGAAAGAAAGAAACAAGAGCAGGATATGAGATTAATTTTTAAAATCATTATAGAAGGAGAATAACTGTGACAGCTATTGTATTAGCTATCTATGGCTGTATAACAAATGACCACAAATTTATCAGCTTAGAACACCCATTTATTAGCTCACAGTTTAGGTGGGTCAGGTGTCCACACGCACCTTGGTGAGACCTCTGCTTTGGGTCTCACAAGGATGCATGCAGTCAAAGCGTCAGCCAGGGCTGGGTTCTCATTTGGAGGCTTGACTGGGGAAGGGTTCACTTCTCCGCTCCTGTCATTGCTGACAACATTTGGTTCTTAGACGCTGTGGGATTCATGGTAGATCACTTCTTAAGAGCCTGCAAGAAGAGAGAGAGAATGAGTGAAAGAGACTCTGGAGCGAGTCTCCTAGCAAAACAGAGTTGTCCATAATTTAACATAATCAAGGGAATGACACCCCATCACCTTTACCATATCTATTGGTTAGAAGGAAGTCACAGGTCTCCACACTCAAGGAGAGGGGATTATATATAAAGGCATGAATGCCAGGAGGCAGGGCTCATACCGGCCCCCTTAGAGTCTGTCTGCTACAGGCAGGCGGGATGAGAGGGACCCAACCACACTGACATCTGGAGAAGAGCCCTCCAGGGAGAGAGAACAGCAAAATCCCAGAAGTGTGAGTGTTCCTGGAATGATGAAGACACAGGAAGGACAGAGTACAATAAAAATAGGTTGGAATGGAAGACAGGACCTAGAGCACGTCGGGCCTCGTGACTGTATAAACTGGACATGGATTCTGCTTTAAAAGATCAGGAATCCATTGATGGAGCTGGAGCGGAAGAGTGGTGTATTTTTATCTGTATTCTTTGAGAATCCCTCTGGCTGCTTTTGGAAAATAGGAGGTTGGAATGATGTAAGAATTGTGGCATTTCAGGCAACAGGACATTTCATTTTATTTTATTTTTTAAATTAAAATGTTCAATTGACAAATAAAGATTGTATATCAAGGTGTACGATGTGATAATTCTCCATGCCTATACATTGTGTAGTGATTATCACAGTCAAATTAGTTACACGTCCATCTCCACCTCAGGTCCCATCTCATAACTGAAAGTTAGTGCCCTTAGATGAACATCTCCCCATACAAGTAATTAATAAAAAACAAAATGAAACAAACAAAATCAAAAACATCTCTCCGTACATTATGCCGAATGAAAAAAGCCAGACACAGAAAGACAAATACTGTATGAATGTACTCTTAAAAGTTAAATTTATAAAAACAGAGAGTAGAATGATGGTTTCCAGGGTTGGGGTGGGGGTAGGGGACACTTTAATTCGGATGATATATTGCCACTGGGGAGACAAAGATATGGATTGAGTCTTAGATATATTTGGAGATATATTTTTGAGCTAGAACTTGTGAGTCTTGGTGATGGGCTGGATTCACTGTTAAAGGGAAGGCAGAAGTATATACTATATTGCCCTAGAGTTTTTAATTTAGAATTTGGGCAAATAGTGGTGCTCGTTATTGAGGTAGGTAAGATGGATGAGCAATAGAATTGGAGGGGGGTGGAATTAGTGGTGTCATTCATAAATATTTTTGTTATTAAAAATAATATCATGGGCTGACTGTTTAGCTCAGTTGGTTATATGGGCACAATTCACACCGGGAACGTTTTCGTGGAGAGCCGTGAAATCTGTTAAAGTAGAGGAGCACAGAAATATCAGACATGGGTGGGAGATCTAGTGAGCGGTGAGGGCGAAGAGGAAGAGAAGCTTTTCTATTTTGAGTATAATTTATTTTCTTTCTTTTTTAATTGATGTATCATTTACAGCCATAAATGCAGTCTTCTAGAGTTTACAATTCAGTGGCATTTAGTATATTCACAAGGTTGTGTAACCGTCACCATGATATAATCCCAGAACATTCTCACCTGAAAATGAAATTCTATACTCATCAGATGTCACTCCCTATTCCCAACACCCCCCCCCCCCCCCCGCCGACCCTGCCAACCATTAATCTGCTTCCTGTCTTTGGTTTTGTCTATTCTGGATATTTTGTATCAGTAGATTCATACAATATGTGGTCTTTTGTGACTGGCTTCTTTCACCAAGTACAATGTTTTCAAAGTTTCTGCTGTACGGCCAAGGCGTATATATATAAAAGGTGGGGGAAGGTAAAGAAAGGTTGGTCAATAGATACAAAAATACAGCTAGAGGCCGGCCCGGTGGCGCACTGCTATAGTGCGCCGCTTGGGAAGAGCGGAGGCGCTCTCGCCGAGGGTTCGGATCCCATGTGCGGACCGACTGCTCACTGGCTGAGTGAGGGGCGGGAGCAACACCGAGGGTTGCAATCCCGTGGCCGGTCCCGGTCTGGTACGGGTGCGACACTGAGGGTTGCGATCCGTTGCCGGTCACGAAAAAAGACAAAAAGGAAAAAAAAAAATACAGCTAGAAAAGAAGGGGTAAGTTTTAGTGTTTTATAGCACTGTGAGGTGACTATAGTTAACAATTTATTTTGTAATTTAAAATAGCTAAAAGAGAAAGCTGTTTGTTCCTAACACAAACAAATGACAAATGTTTAAGGTAATGGATATGCGAATTACCTTGATTTGATCATTACACATTGTACGCATGTATCCAAATACCACATTGTACCCCATACATATGTACAACTAGTATTTGTCAATTAAAAATTTAAAAAAATTTAAATATCAAACCCCAGGAGTATTAAAAAAAGTAATCCAATGCTCTGTCTGTCCCTGGCCTGGATTCAGGGAACATCTAGGGAATGGAAAAGACATTCTCTTTTCTGCTTCCCAAAGAGAGAATTAAACCCATAAGTAGGGCATGGGGAGTTATGTCCCCAAGGTTCCCATATAATCATAGTGATTCCTTTTTTTTTGTATCCTGTTTTCTAGATAAACATGACGGACCTGGAGCTCCCTCAACGCAACTAGGTAAGATGATTAGAAAGACGTTTTTCTCCATTAGATCTGACTCATGGGACCAGATTCCTTCTGCTTAAAGTGCACAGGAAGAATCTTTTTTTTCGGCCTCTGGCCAGTATGGGGATCCGAACTCTTGACCTTGGTATCATCAGCACTGCGCTCTAACCAACTGAGCTAACGCACCAGCCCTAAGAAAAATCTTAATGCCCACCTAATGTTATTAGGAGAACTCCTGCCTTTTGAGGGGAGATACCTTCTAAAGCACTTCCAGGTTCTGAAAAAGCTAGTGCAGAAAATGCCACAAGGGACACCATCTGCAGTGTTACATGATGCAAAGTGACGGCAGAGTTTTGTGAAGAATGAGGGTGAGTTTGTGTTACCGGTTTCGGGAGTAGGGCTGAGACTTAGGGAACGCAGGTACTTTTGGAATATGTATAATCGAGGGCTTGTTAAAACTCTAAGGTTCTCAAAAATAGGTGAATACTAAATTCTGTTTTTCTAATGCTGCTTTTTAATGAACAATTGACTAAGAATTTGTCCACAGAGGTTCTTACAAAAATTAGAGCTTCCAGTAGGGTTAGACTGAAATAGGAGCTCACGCAGACTTTAATGGCAAAATGCGTGATATAAATTGGCATCTCGATGCTTAATCATCCTTTCTTGCAGCAGTGCATCATCTTCCTGTCATTTGCTCCAAAGAGCCAAATTGTTAAAGGTTGTTGTTAGAGTCTATGCTGGTGTAATTGGTTTTTGAAAAAGTATATCCCAAAGTGTTCCTGCAAGATGAATATTAGTCTTTGATAATGTTTTTATTCAGTATTAGCAGACTTGGGAAATGACTGCTACTCCAGCTCTATGGGCACAATTCACACCGGGAACGTTTTCGTGGAGAGCCGTGAAATCTGTTAAAGTAGAGGAGCACAGAAATATCAGACATGGGTGGGAGATCTAGTGAGCGGTGAGGGCGAAGAGGAAGAGAAGCTTTTCTATTTTGAGTATAATTTATTTTCTTTCTTTTTTAATTGATGTATCATTTACAGCCATAAATGCAGTCTTCTAGAGTTTACAATTCAGTGGCATTTAGTATATTCACAAGGTTGTGTAACCGTCACCATGATATAATCCCAGAACATTCTCACCTGAAAATGAAATTCTATACTCATCAGATGTCACTCCCTATTCCCAACACCACCTCCCCCCCCCCGCCGACCCTGCCAACCATTAATCTGCTTCCTGTCTTTGGTTTTGTCTATTCTGGATATTTTGTATCAGTAGATTCATACAATATGTGGTCTTTTGTGACTGGCTTCTTTCACCAAGTACAATGTTTTCAAAGTTTATCTACGTTGTAGCGTGTATCAGTAGTTCATTCTCTGTTCGTGGCTGAAAATGTTCCGTTGTATGCATATGCCACTGTTTTTTATCCATTCATTTGTTGATTAACATTTGGGTTGTTTGCAACTTTTGGCAATCGTGAGTAATGCTGCTATGAACACTGGTGTATAAGTATCTGTCTGAGTCCCTGCTTTCAATTCTCTTAGGTGTATACCTACAAGTGAAATTGCTGAGCCACATGGCAACTCTTATGTTCAATTTTTTGAGGAACTGCCAAATCATGTGTCATTGTAGCTGTATCATTTCACATTCCTGCCAGTAATTTACGTGGGTTCCAATAACACCACATCCTTTTCAACACTTCTTTTCCTTTTATTAAATTATAGCCATCCTGCTGGGCATTATATAATTTCTTAAAATGTGCTTTCCAAGTTCAAATTGATATTATCACAATTCTAAACAGAATAAAATATCTTTAAGCACAGATATGATGCCCTCAACCTGTATTTGTATACCTCAAAGCCACTAGAAAGGGGCCCTATACTCAGTTCCTATGTGGCAATTGACGATAAATTTTATCACCTAACTTTGACACAAGACCAGGCTTCCTTTCTGGCACCCGTGACTTTATTTATGCCCCTTGTCAATCTGCATCCCATTGCTCAGTCTGATTCCAATATCATAATGCTTTATAATTTATTTTGGCAATTTGTAAATAGGGATGTGGAATTTGACCAGGATATGTGATCACCTCAGGGTGAACCCAGTTCAGCAGGTTGTTTTGCAATAACTTCTCCTTTCTAGCGAATTGCTGTTGAAAGAAACTGTAGGCCAGAAAAGGGGAGAACTGAAAAGACAAGGCAGGGCTGTTGTTTCTCTGTTTCCATTGAGGGCCCTGGTAGTCCAAAAACAACTGTTCCTGTCCCATTTTCAGAAGTCCATGGAGATGCACTTATAGAATTGTTGCTTTTGAGGGTTTCTGGGATTCTCTTAGTATTAGTGTGAAAATGATATTTTAGGGGAGTGGGGAAGAACTTGGAGGAAAGAAACTCATCAAGGGTGGGATATGCATGTCCTGCAGATGGTATCTTTTGCTCAATTCTGCAGGAAAGTGCTGGAGACAGAGAAGTTCCAAAATACAGGAAGCCAGGGAGCGAGGGTACTGGAATTCTCACAAACAGTAGTCATTAGTCCCCCTGGACATGTAAATTCCAAGGCATTCTTTCAGGCAGTCTCCCAATGAAGACATGCAAGTGTTCACCCTGGAAAGCAAAAGGAACTATCACTAAAGTGGCTAAAAATGGTAAAGGGATCTTGGGAACATGCACTGAGGAAATTGGCAGCATCTGTTACAGAGGAAGATGGGCGTGGGTGGAATATTGGGTGAGAAAAAAATCATTATAACTACAAACTCATCCTGCACAATGAGTTAGTTTCTAGACTGAGAGCTTTAAAGCCAGGACTTTTTTCGTTGTTACCTAACCCTTCAAATTGTATATTATTATCTCCCTCCCCTCTCCCTTTATTCAACCAAAGAATAGTCTATTCTAGAAAGGGAAGGGGCATTTACAAAGTCTGTAAGTGGGAAAGTCAGTGCTAGAACTCGAGTGTGTCTCATTACAAGTCCTCCACTCTCTTTGCCACTCCCTACGGCTCAATTAAAAAAGAGCTTCATTTCAGATAAACAGATAGATTACATAGATAAGATAATAGACGATAGGCAGATATAGGTGATAGACCAATATGATAAATAGACAGATAATAGATACAGAGGTACCTAGGTAGATGATAGACAGATTGGGAAATAGATTAAATAGACAAGACTGATAGGCGGACAGATAGATAGATAATTCCATATATAGAGATATTTCTGCCCCCAGTGCCCAGATACCCTGACCATATATTAGACTGGCCTGAGAAGGTGTCATACCTGGCTGTATAACTTTGTGCAATTCACTTTATTTCCTGGTACTCAGATTAGTTATGAATTTTCAAATGGGGGTAGTAAATCTATCTTGTGTACTTATTGTCAAGATGAGAAAGAACGTATATGAAGCACTAGCAAAGAGCCGGCTTGCAATAAATGATTAATATTATTGCTGTGGATGAAACACTTATTGGGAATTTCACATGCGTGAGTCACTTTTCTAGCCCTCTCTGTATGTACTGACCTCCCTACCATCCGATAAAGTAGCCACTACTGCTGTCCTTGCTTTACAGACGGAGAAATGGAAGCAGAGGGAAATTAAGGAAATTCCCCAAAGCGATGGGAAATTCCAGCTCTGAAGCAGCATTTCCATGTTTTTCCAAACGGGCTATCTGGCTCCTCTTAGCCTTCTGCTAAACGCCATTGGTGTGTTTCAGAAGCCAAACTGATCCTCTGACCTGCTCTTCTCTCATCAGAGACCAGAATCATCCCTGTTACCATCTTGAGCTGCCTCTCCATCTTTCTCCTCTTCTTCTCAGTCTTCTTCATCTACAGATGCACTCAGCGTGGTAAGTTCAGAGAAGAATGGGTTAAGGATGCTGGAGAAGGGAGAGGAGTGAAGGATTTTCTCAGTAGGTAATCGCCTCACCGTACTTTTTTATAGGTTCATCACATGAAGAATCGAGCAAGAGGTGAATATACCTGGTGTACTGCATGCCTCACCTGATTCCCAGTCCACTCTTCAGAGATCCCATCTGTACAGTGATTGATATGCCCAGCCCCACCCTGAGCCCCCAACCCCAGCCCATGCTATGACCTTCCTCCTTTCCTTTCCAAAGCCCTTAAGCTCTCCCTCGAATCCTTAGATCTCATACTTTCATGGGTTTTTCTCTTTCTCAGAGCCAGCCATTCCAAATTTTCCAAGCAGGAGGATACAGGTAAGTGTTAGGGAAATATAAGAGAGTCACAAGATAGAGAGACTAAGTTCTGACTCTTGCAACCTGAGAACCGATTTTATTTCCTTCTCTCACTCAATACAGATTTATATATAAGGTGCCAAAAAGCACCCAGGGGAGCAAAATGCAGGAGGCGGACCATAGAAGGTAAGAAGCCCTGAGCGATGAGGCTACTTCTCTGCATGCTCTGAAGACTGGGAATGGGAGTGATCTTATTTAGTATCTTCACAAAAGAGCTGACAATGTCTGGTATCATTCTGGGTTGGATTGGCCTGGCCCTACTGTCTGGAAATTCTTTTTTTTTTTTTAATATGACCGGTAAGGGGATCTTAACCCTTGACTTGGTGTTGTCAGCACCATGCTCTCCCAAGTGAGTGAACCGGCCATCCCTATATGGGATCCGAACCCGTGACCTTGGTGTTATCAGCACCGCACTCTCCCGAGTGAGCCACAGGCAGCCCACCCGCTTAGAATTTTAAATGTTCAGTGGCTAATAATATTGTATTGTACATTGCAATAGCTACAAAAGAGGATCTTGAATGTTATCACCACAAAGAAATAATTTTTTAAATTTTTTTAAATTTATTTTTTTCATTGTATATATTTATGGGGTACAGTTTCTTGTTTCAATACATGTCTAATGATCAAATCAGGGTGTTAGCATGTCTATCACCCAAACGTTTATCATTTCTTGTTTAGGTGATAGGTATGCTAACTATTCTGATTAGATCATTATACAATATATGTGTGCACTGAAACGTCACACTGTACCCCATAAACATGTATAATTTTAAAAAGTTACAAAAGTGTTCAATTTATGGCATTGACTAACAAATTGTTGGTAATGATACTATTATTATCATGTAATATTATATAACAGTAGTTCTAGGGTGGTAGTTCTTATTCTTGAAGGCATATATTTGCACTAATTTTATGAACACCAGTTATAATTGACTGTTAGTGTCACTTTATTAATGCTGTAGTCAAGACCATCACCCTCCCTGAAGCACAGCCGTTCTACGATGGTGCAGTCTGACAGAACGTTCTGTGATGATGAAAAAACGTTCTACACCTGCACTGCTTAATGCAACAGCCACAGGCTACGTATGGCTACTGTTCATTTGAACTGCATCTGGTGTGACTGAAGACCTGAATTTAAAATTTAATTTAATTTTAATTCATTGATATTTAAATAGCTATCGGTGCCTAGTGGCTACCATATTATACCACTCAGCTCTAAATGCCCATTCTTATCCATCTCTTTTCCCCAAAGGCTGAAGACCCCAAGGGAGTGACGTGTACTGAGCTGAACACCAATGCACCGTTTGAGGCAGCTTCTGTTCCCACTGAGGACCCCCCAGGATCCTGTGAATGTGCAACACTGAAAGTGTAGAAAGTGGATAGTGAGAACTACTGGAGAAAGATGGATTAAGATGGTTCAGGTGATTGGAACTATGGAAATACAGATGACTCTGTGTTCTTCACTCCTAATCCATATCGATTATGTTTCTCATCTTAAAAATATCTGACTTACTTATGGGTTATCTGTGCCCAAGAATCCCACCGCACTGTCTCTACCCTAGAATAATTCTAGGGAAAAAAATCAACTATCCAACAAATAATTATCAAGCACTTCGAGGAAGTAAAATAAACAAAAAGAAAATGATTAAATTGATCCAGTTCAATTCAATGACTTATTTTATCAAATGAGTGGAAAATAGAAAAATTAAAATATAGATATTAGGGATAATTCTGCAAAGGTAGAAATAAGTGGATATGTCTGAAAATGTAAATGCTTAGTCATAACTAAATGTTCTTCGAATGTAAACTGAGTGTGTTCAATTGTGAAAGAAGAGAAAAGAATTTAAAGCATGTACCAAATATAAATTTCTGAGGAGTTTGTCTAAAAGGAGCCGGCCCGTGGGTCACCTGGGAGAGTGCGGTGTTGATAACACCGAGGCCACGGGTTCGGATCCCATATACGGATGGCCGGTTCGCTCAGTGGGTGAGCGTGGTGCTGACAACACCAAGTCAAGGGTTAAGGTCCCCTTACTGGTCATCTTTTAAAAAATTAATTAATTAATTAATTAAATTTAAAATAAAAGGAAGAGTCCAGGCATGAGAAAATGTGATTTGCTCCATTTACTCAGGACATAAACAATGCAAATGGGGCCCATGAGAGCAGGATCTCTGGCTGTTTTGTTCACTAATATATCCCAAGCACTCATAATAGTGCCTTTAATGTAGCAGAAGTCCAATAAATCATTGTTGAATAAATTTCTTAAAATTAATTTTCTCTCTTTTTGCTTCCACACCTCTGAAAAATTACCGAATGGTCATTTTTACAAAACTTGAGGTGTGACTTTAGTATGATTTGACTCAAAACATAGGCTGGGAATAAATATATATGTAAGCTGATGGTGTTCGTATTCACTTACGGAGTTCCGGGTGGCACCATATAAAGATGGGAAATTGTTCTCCAAAGAGGCCTATGTGGTTGCTGATCTGGTGAGACATCCCATAAACCCAGCGGTTTCAAAACGCACAAGGGGGAGGAGGAGAAGGGAGAAGGGGGGACGCACAAAAATCTCCATCCTTGGAGACCAGAGAGATCATGCTTGGTTGTCTAGAATGAATTGGGCAAAAGCTGTTAAAGCCAGCAGACAAGGAACCTTCTGAAGTCATTTCACAGCAGTTCTCCTCAGGGTGGTTGTTAAACAAAAATTATGAGAGGCTGTTGTTTTGAACTGAGTTCCTGCACTAGCAGTGTGGTCCCAGCAGACCAGACCAAACCAGAACGGAGTCACTCATGCTAAATGCCGCATAATCAAATTGAAGATTTAAGGAAGCAGACGGATCTCCAAACAGATCAGATTTCCTGAAAATAGGAGATTCCATTCTACCTGAGTCAGCATAGTAAGGAAGTCCCCTCTGCTTTAATGCTTACAAAAAGTAACCTGAAGTTAACCGCTCTTATTTTTCTATTGTTCTGTTTCCTTGATCCCACCATAAAAAACCCACTGTTCTGCTACTGCCCAGTGGGAGCCCTCACTCTGTTTTGTAGAATGGAGGTTGCTCTGATTCATGAATAGCAAATAAAAGCTAATTACTTCTACAACTAAGTTTATTGTAATTTTGTCTTTTGACATGATGAATGGAGGGTGGGGGCCTGAGGATGAAGACAGAAAGTGAAGGAGAGTGAGGGGGGAGTCTTCTTGGAGGCAGAGGAAGAGAACTCATGCTCTGGATTTACGTGGAATGCAAACACGAGAAACACACGAGGCTCCACAAACAGTCTCTGCCTCTGTCTCTCAAAGTCTCTCTCTCTCTCTCTCTCACACACACACACACACACACACACACACACACACACACACACACACACACTCTCTGTATTGGTTCCAGCCAATGCAGTTTCTTTGTACCCCCCAAATTACAAACATTCAAACCGTAACACATAAACACCCACCAAAAAAGCTACATAGAGCCTCTACACAAGCACAATCACATACCAACACCCATGGTTATAGATTCAATTTTGTTCCCCCCAAATTCATATGTTTAAGTCTTAACCCCCAGTGCCTCCAAATGTGACCTTATTTGAAATTAAAGTCATTGCAGATGTAATTAGTTAAGATGAGGTCACGCTGGAGTAGGGTGAACCCCTAATCCAATAGGACTTGTGTTCTTATAAAAAGGGGAAATTTGGACACGGAGATGTACATGTAGGGAGAAACACATGTAATGTGAAGGCAGAAATTGGGGTGATGTGTCTGCAAGCCAAGGAATGCCAAATATACCAGCAAACCCCCAGAAGCTAAGAGAGAGGCCTGGAGCAGTTTCTCCCTCACGGCTTTCCGAAGAAACCAATTCTGTAGACACTTTAATGTCAGACTTCTGGCTTCCAGAACTGTGAGACCACAAATTTCTGTTGTGTAAGCCATCCAGTTTGTGGTACCTTGATACAGCAGCCCTGGCAAACACATTATTCTACACACACACGTCATGTACACAAAGACCCACAGAGACAGCTACACATACACAGTTGCTCACAGACAAACCTGCAGGGTTTTTTTTGTTGTTGTTGTTTGTTTGTTTGTTTGTTTGTTTTTTGGTGGCTGGCCGATATGGGGATCCAAACCCTTGACCTTGGTGTTGTCAGCACCATGCTTTAATCAACTGAGCTGACTGGCCGGCCCACACGGTCTTAAAAATATAGCCACCAGAATCACAGATCAAAAGTCACACAGTCATGCAAAAACACACAGAGACACAAATATGTACATACACACACTGACACAGAAATACACACACACACACATGCGTGCACCGCCCCCGCCCGCCGCTGTTCTATATCCACGGGAGACCCCATACTCACAGTTCCTGAAATCCGAGTTCCTGAATGTTTTTCAGGATAGATTGGCTAAATGTAGACCCTGAGGCATCACCCCAACCACGCCTGAACCTGATGAGGATCCAGGGTGTGAGTGGCAAGGAAAGCGTGTCTTAATCCATTTGGGCTGCTATAACAAAATACCACAGACTGTGTGACTTATAAATGACAGAAATCTATTTTTCACAATGCTGGAGGCTGAAAGTCCAAGACCAAGGTGCTGACAGATTGGTGTCTGGTGAGAGCTCGTTTCCTGGTTCAGAGATGGTGCCTTCTCGCTGTGTCCCCACCTGGTGGAAGGGACTAGTTAGCTCTCTGGGGCCTCTTTTATAAGGGCAGTAATCCCAGTCATGAGGGCTTCAACCTCTCGACCTAATCACTTTCCAAAGGCCACATCACGTTGGGGGCTAGGTTTCAACATATGAATTCTGAGGGGATAAAATCTTTCAGACCGTAGCGCCCGTGAAGCTGGCCTGCTTGTAGCCCGGCTTCAGCCAGAGTTCCCAGGAATGCTGCCTCGGAAGGAGCATCCAGCTTGCTTCTCTCCCCTCAGCACGCAGCCCTGGTTGACAAAGTGCTGAAGTCACATCAGGGGGTAGCAGGGCAGGGGAGGAGAATCTCTCTGCTCAAGCTCTTGCTGCAGACAGTTATTCTCTTTAAAACTTGGGAGCTCTTGGTGACCATCTGTCTCACCACGTGGAGGAAGCCGGTCTTCAATGAGAAACTCAAAGATGACTCAGAGAACACCTGGGAAATGAGGGTGACTAATAGTGCTTTCAGCTTTTGTGTTCTTTGCTTGGCTTCCAAAACTCAGCTTACCTTCGCTTCCTGCAGATTTCTCCTTCAATAATTATTGAGGGGAAAAAAAGACCTTTTTTGAGTCTAAGATAGTCTAGAAAGAATTTTGTTTTGATCAAAGAGTCTTGAAAAACATTAAAATTGGGCCGGCCCGGTGGCGCACTGCTACAGTGCGCCGCTTGGGAGTGCAGTGGCGCTCCCGCCAAGGGTTCGGATCCCATATACAGACCGGTTCCCGCTCACTGGCTGAGCGAGGTGCGGGCGCAGCGCCGAGGGTTGCGATCCCGTTGCCGGTCCCGGTCCGGTACGGGCGCGACACTGAGGGTTGCAATCCGTTGCCGGATACGAAAAAAGACAAAAAAAAAAAAAAAGAAAAACATTAAAATTGATCCTAATAGATATCATTTATGGACATCTACTGTGATATTCATCCTATTTTAACTACTGTAGTAAGTCTTGATATGTACTAGTTTTCTTCTGCTGAGTATTTGCATTATATATCTTTTCTCTCTTCATTTACTTTCAACTTTTCCATGTCTTTATGTTTCAAATGTGTTTCTTGGAAACAAAATGTTAAATATTTTCATTCAATCAAACGTTTCCATCTAACTGGGACCTTTAGTTCACTTACATATAATAATATTTGATATTTTCAATGCATGCAAAATTAGAGGTCTGGAAGTTGTCTTGAAAGAAGACATTATATTGAACCTATGATGCACTGTTTACTGTTTTCTGTTGTTATTGTTTTACTCTGTGTAACTGCCATTTCTTTGAATGTTATCTGTCTTTAATATTTAATATTAATATTTAATATCTCCTGGCTGCTTTAATATTTTTTTCTGTGTCATTGTGATGTACCTAGTTTGGAGTCTATTTTTACTCTTGAAATATTTTCTGTGCCACATAAATCTGAAGATCAGTGTCTTTTTTTGGTTATGGAAAATTCTCAACAATTATCTTTCACATATTGTCTCTACCTTATTCTCCTCCCCTCTTTCTAAAACTGTAATTGAATTTATATCAGTCCCTCCCACTGTGTCCTCCACATCTCTTACTCTCTCTGTATGGTCTACCTTTCCTTGTGTCATTATTCTATATTATAGGTAATTTATTCTGATCTATATTCCAGTTCCCTAATTCTCTTTCCTGCTGTGTATATTCTGCTTCCAAATGTGTCCATTGTTATTTTCTTTATTTCTAGAGCTATTTTTGAACTACTTTTGGAATAAGACATATGCACCTAAAAGTGCACCTTCATAAGTGAACCGTTTCATCAATTTTAACAAACTAAACACACCCAGAATAGAATGTTGCCAACACTTCAGAAGCTCCCCCTTCCCCTTTCTGGTCACTACTCTGTAAGGAGGTCCACTGATTCTTTAGAGTT